CGGGAGCCCCAGGCCCTTTTGCATCACCAGGTCCTGGGGGATCTGCTCCCTTCCACCCCCGGCAGCGAGGCCTGCCCAAGTCACAAGGCTCATTTCAGCCACCCTGGCTGTAACGCCCTTTGCCCGGGAACAAAGCGGCTTCAGCCAGATGGGCGGTGTGCCTCGCAGGCCAGATGTGCTGGGCGAGAGCAGCGCCATGGGGAACGTGGGTCTCCCGCCTGTTTGCTAAATTCAACTGATCTCAGACAGAGGAAGCAGATGAAAAAGAAGACAAAGGATGCGGGAGTTTGGTTTTGTTTGTGTTGGTTTCCCCCTCCCCTCTCCTCCCCCCCCAGCATTGCAATCGAGATGGGCGGTGTGCCTCGCAGGCCAGATGTGCTGGGCGAGAGCAGCGCCATGGGGAACGTGGGTCTCCCGCCTGTTTGCTAAATTCAACTGATCTCAGACAGAGGAAGCAGATGAAAAAGAAGACAAAGGATGCGGGAGTTTGGTTTTGTTTGTGTTGGTTTCCCCCTCCCCTCTCCTCCCCCCCCAGCATTGCAATCGACACCTAGGCGGGATGAAAACATGCGTAGACGGGACATTCATTTCTCCTGGGGCCGCTCAAGCTGCTTCCCCGCACCACACCCGTTAAGCTCCGGCCGGCTACGTACCACAGCAGGGCCTCAGTAGAAGTGACTGTTAACCACGCTGTGCCAACTTAGAGGCTTGTTCTGCAAACAGTCCCATTGAAAACCGGCCGGCCCATTCTTGCACAGCTGACTAAGGCGGCTGCAGCGCCCCTCATGGTCACTGCAGGTATTGCAGGGCGGCTGCAGGGCTACTGGGCTCAGAACGCAGGGACAGGATGCTACGAACCCCCTCTGGATGTGAACGTCTTTAGGGAACCCGCTGCCCTGAAACCTGCACTGACCACTAACCAGGGCCTGGGGCCGCTCAGAGACTAAGCGCCCAACCTTGCGGCTCAGGCTCTTATCCTAGGTTCCTACTGCGGTACAGGAAGCTGGAGTTTAGCTCCCCATCACCTCCCCTCACCGCCCCCTTCTTTAAAGGGCTGCACTGACCTAGCTCCAAAGTTGCCATGCAAGTGCTCGGCCTTCGAAGAACTAGTGAAAAGAGCAAAGCAGCTGCTTGGAGAGAGGAGTCTCCAGGCCCTACGCTCGGGGTCTCAAACTCCTGGCCCACGGCCCATCCCTGGCTGGAACAATAGCACGATCCAGCCTGGAAGGGGGAGGGAAGATCGGGTTATTACCTTTCCCCAAGCCTTACCCCTTCTCACCATTGCCCTGCCGTCTCCCCATGTATGTGGGAGGGGCGATTGCTGCTCCATGCCAGCCTCCCCCACCCCCCCCCCCCGGCGTG